ATTAATAGTTCGGTACAAAGGCTTCGCTTTGAGTTAAGTCTTTTGCAAAAGTACTCGTATTTGTGTTGCTCTGAATGCAAGACAAAGATCTGCGAGAAGGAGGACGTGATCGTCATGTCTGTGAACGGCCCGCAGGGAACGTATGTCAACCCTTCCGGTTGTGTTCACGAATTGATGACAGTCTCAAAGACTATGAATATTGTGCTCATTGGTCGGTCATCAGCCGAATTCTCGTGGTTTCCCGGGTATTGACTCTTGTTTTGCTGACATTTGAAGAATACATTTATAACGAGTATGACATGTGATGACAGGTACGCGTGGACTATATGCCGGTGCGCGCGATGTAATGGCCACATGGGCTGGAAGTTCAGTTGTGTGGACAAGAAGCTGAGGCCCGAATGGTTTTGGGGTCTTTGCCGGTCGTCGTTAGAGCCCGGACTCAAAATAGACGACGAAATCTCGTGGAAACCCGTTCTTTAAGAGAGTCACACGTAAACCATGTTATCGTTTATTTGTGTAATAATTATATTTTAAAAAATTTATTTTTCTCGTCATAAATACATATATAAATAATACTTAATCCTAACGTAAGAACAATATAAGAATGGGTTATTATAATTGATTATAAGTATACATAAAATGTATAATAAGATGATTATCATAAGTGGTGATGGAGTGGTGTGTTTCAGATGAAGAGTCCGTCTTCGTCTAGACATGATCTGTAGTGGTTTTGTATTGCTTGAAACCTAACAGTCATTATATAACAAATAACAAAATTATGAGTGATTTGCTGAGCAATTAATCTGTGATCATATATTAGCCATACCTCTCAAAACGGCGCCAACATTTAGGACAGGTATAGGATTTTTGGACCTATAGATCGTGAAGAGAATATTATATTTATATATTTATTATTCGTTTGCAATTCAAAACGTAAAGTGAATGTAAAAATTATAATTGATTATAATTTATATATAACTTTTAACGTATGATAATTATAAATTAATATTAATGTAAATTATATGTAATTAAAAGTAAAATATCAATTAAATGAAAGGAAAAATGAGTTATAAATGAATAGAAATTAGAGGAGAGTTGTGAGTCCACCACCAAAATTGAGTTTTGTTTGATTCCCGACATAAGTAATGGCCGTAAATGCGAACGACTATTACTTTGTGACCAAAAAATTGGTTCAAAACTCACAGCTTTCTCGAATGTCTATGCCTTCTGTGATGTCTGCCTACCGGTAACTCCTCGGCCGCGGCCTTGAGGTCAACGGTCGGCGCA